CAAGTTTAGCATATAGATGTTGTTAACCCTAAAGCCATTAAATGAACAACCTTGCTTTTCATTATGATCAATTATGCAACAAATATTTTTAAAACTTATTTTATATACTTTTTTGCATAGTTGACTAATGATAAGAAGATTATATTTAAGACCTTCAACAAGTATTATGTTAGAGATAGTAGTAGAAAAGGGATTACCTACACTATCTTTACCAAGTATTGTACCCTTATTGTTGTCTTCGTAGGTCACAAATCCTTTCTTCTTTGGAGTGAAGTCAATGAATAGAGAAATGCCACCCGTTATATACCTTGGGCATCCGCTATCAAGAAACCACATTCTCGCCATGGAGCCAAGACATTCAACCTACAAGCTTAAACAAGAGTGCTAGGTACTTAATTTTCATTGGGTCCTTAAGAATGAATGGAAACATTGTTACATTTGGGCAACCATTGAAATACACCTTTAGGAAACAAATATCTCCTAAATTTACATTTATCAATGGTATGAAATTTCTTACAACAATAGTGACATGTTAAGCGGTGATGGGAGTGACTTTTTCTATTAGACTCTCTTACAACATAACTTTACTTCTTGTACGACACATTTAAAGATCTTTTGAATTTTGTAGGATTAATAGAGAAGGTGGCATTTGGCTCTAATGCCTTGTTTAATTTTGCTTTTAGACTATTAACCGTTTTTTTTCAAATGTAGCAAGTTTCACAATCAAACCCATAAGATTTCTCTTCCTCACCATTAAATTTTGAAGCATCTAACATGGATTACTTAAGAGCTTCCATTTGTTTTTTAGTTTCTAAAACTTTGACTTCTAAGTATGAAAATATTCTTTTATTTGAATCCAACCTTTTAAAAGCATATATTACTTCACCATATAGATTTTCAAACGCAATTTGTAATTTGAAATAATACATTTCATCAATAGGTTCATATTTAGAATGCCTTACATTTTTATCTTTATTGTGATGGGCCATAAGACAAAAAATTGTCTCTTCATCACTTTCACTTGAGCTACATTCACTTGAGGATTCACTATTACTTTTCCAAGCTATGCATGCTTTTCTAAGCTTGCTTGTTTTCTTGTATTGACCCTTACTTTTATCCTTCTTAAGTTGTGGACAACCCGGCTTGTAATGTCTTGCTTTACCACAGTTAAAACATGAACCTTTGGACTTTCCTTTCTTATTTTCATCTTGCTTTAAGGAGTTAATTTAACATTTAAAGTTGATGAGATCATTATCGAAGTGCTTTACTCCATTTCTCTTAATGTATTTATGATACCGTTTAACAGACACCCCATTTCTTCATCATCCTACTTTTCATCATCACTAGTTCCATTTTCATCATGTTCTTTTGTTGAGGACTTGGAACTAGAAGCCACAAGAGCAATTGACTTATTTTCCACCTCCTTTTTCTTGTTCTTTTCTTTCTTAACCTTCTTCTCATGCTTCTGTAAGCTAATGAGCTCTTGCTCATGTTCTTCAAGCTTATTAAATAAAGTAGTAGTGTTCAAAGTCAATAGGTTATTAACTTCCTTGATGGCAGTGACCTTTGGTTGCCATTCCCTATTAATACATCTCAAAATTTTATTAGTAGCAATATCATTAGAAACCGACTTACCAAGTGCATTCAAATGGTTTACAAGATGATTGAACCTCTTTTGCATATCGGAAATGGTTTTACCATGCACCATATGAAAGAGTTCAAACTCTTGGTTCAAAGTATTAATCCTAGCTTGTTTGACTTCATTTCTACCCTCATGGGCAACTTGTAATGCCTCCCACATAGCTTTAGTGGTTTCACAATGAGAAATACAATAATATTCATCAACTCATAAAAGTGGAAATTGGAATATTCCTTGCTTTCTAATCACTAGACCACTTTTTCTCATCTTCCGCATATCACTGTGCTTTTGGTTTAGGTACAACACCACCATCCACATTGGTCATAGTAATTTCAAAATGGACCATCTTGGATGATGCTCCATACTTTTCTATCAATAGAATTGATATGGATACACATACAATCATTTCAATAACCATAGTTCTTGCCATTGAAAACTGATGCTTTATGATACGCCCCTATAGGTTCAGAAGCCATAATCTAATAAGTGAATTTGAAACACAAGACAAACTGGTGCTCGTGATACCACTTGTTAGACGAGGGAAACAATCTAGAAGGGGGTTGAATAGATCGCCAAGTAAAGTTTTCTTATTAAAAATTTCTGCTTTGAAAAATATTTTCTATGGCAAGCAGAAGCAAATCCGAATCGGCACTCGTCTATCTGAATCGTTTTTGCTAGAATTAGATATGAGTATAAATCGTAGTAAACTTATACTAAATATGAGAAAGGAAATCAATAAGTTTGAATTAAATCACACAAAGCTAAACGATTTCCAATGACATGTAAAAGTTAAACTTGACTAAGGAAATTTATTGAACGCTTAATGTGCAGTCAATTTATCAAATACTTGGTATGCAACACACCAAGCTTTATTCTCTTTGTGTTGAAGGTATGAAAAATTAATTGCAATTGTTTAGATTGTAATGCTTTTACAATAATAGTTTAAGATACTCCAACATAATCAGAATTTTCAGCAAATCAAATTACTCACTAAGTTTTATCAAATTGTAGAGAGAGAGAGAGAGAGAGAGAGAGAGAGAGAGAGAGAGAGAGAGAGAGAGAGAGAGAGAGAGAGAGAGAGAACACCAAGATTTGTTTAGACAGTTCTCCAATTGTCCTTACTATGGATACATCTACCCTTAATTCAAAATAGAACAGAGATATGTAATTAACCTCTTTGCAAGAGTATTTTACAAGAGAAGTAGTAACAATTCAAACCCCCAAACTCTATGTTTGATTTTGATCATACCTTCTTCTTTTCCCTTGATATTAGCTAGATCAAGTCACACAAGACTTCCAATTGATCCTCCGATTACCACTACTCCTTTGACCGAGCCTCCATTCTTCAAAGCTTTCACTCGGCTGAATTCAAATTACGAAATTTGCCTCAAGTCTTTCAATTGATCCTGCAGTTATCTTTACTCTTTTGACAGAACCCCCATTCTTAAAAGCTTTCACTCGGCTAAATCAAAGTTGAAAAGACTTGTGCAAAAACTCCCAAATCAACCCTTGATTTTGGAGGAAAAAACCTAAAGGTATTATCAATGAAACCCCCAAAGAAAAGCCCAACCCAATTTGATTACACCAACCTAAATTGGACCTTATCAATCTTAACTTGATGACACTCAACAAAAATGATTACGTGCAGTTGTTAAATGTATGCAAAGAAAGGTTGAAGATGATAAGAAATTTCTAAGTGTGTTATTGGATTCAATGTTGATAAATGATGCATGAATCCCTATTTATATGCATGTTTGTGTGTAGAAAGAAAACAAGCAAAGCAAATCTTTATCCAAAAATGGAAGTTTTGAAAATTGGAACAGAATGTACTGACTTCAATTATGAATGGGTCAATACACACGCAAAAGGAGTCGATACATCTAGTGAAGAAAGTTTATGTTTGAAAAAAATCTTCAAAAGGAGTCGACTCCAAACATGGGGGAGCCGACTCATTTGCCTGATGTATTGAACCACACCACCAATGTTTGATACATTGAGGGTAGGGACAACTAGGTTGAAAACTCCTTCAGTTGGAGTCGACTTCAACCATGAATGACTCAACTCATTCACAAAATGTATCGACCCATAAGACATGTGTCTCGATACATTAAGGACAAAACTTTTCCTTTTAAAAATCTACTTAGTATGTATCGATGCATACAAAAAGTGTATCAACATATTTGCTCGTTTTTTTTCATGAAAATCCATATTTTTGCATGTAATGGCCTATATAACTATTTCTACATGTCCTATTATGAATCATGATGATGAACATCTAGACATAAACGATAAGGTTCAATATACAAAAGTACTAAGCTACTTAATTTTGACATCATTCAAAATATATCTTATGAGTATAATGCACTCAAAGAGGAGTTGGAATTCTAAGTTGTGATACTTGGACGATCCTTACTCTTGGAGGAGGAGACATTAGATTTGGATGCGGAGGAACCTCAATGCCGATATTCTTTTTGCCATAAGGAGAATGAGTCATATTTTGTTGACTGACAATTGTCAATGTTGCGCAGACAGCAACTAGAGCAGTTTCGCGTGCAGTGACGAAACAAGTAGTCTTGGATCCAACAATTTCCTAATATCGAAGAGATCAGAGATAAGAAAATCCAAAAATTTGAAAAACCAATGAATTGTAATCAGCATAGAGTTCGAATCGATCAAATACAACTGAATTTCGTGCTCGATTTGTTAGATTTCTATTTAGAGATACAACGAAAAGAGTATTTAGTTTAATTTTCTCATTACAATCTTTAACGAATCTCTATTATGATTACAAATGGGTTTAAATCTCTAACTCTAAAAATGAGATTCTTGGAACACATTTATACGTATAACAAATCGACAACATTGAACATTGCAATACATGTTTAATAACACCGATAAACTTGAACATTCTTTGTCTAATTCCCCTGCCCTCTCTCATGGTTGGGAGACGTGGTCCACACCATATAGGACACATGACAACCTGCTTTACTTTGAGATGGATCTCAAATTTATCAAAGACTCCAAATTCTTTTCCCATCCAAATCAGTGAACCGAAAATCTGTTCACTACGGCAGGGCAGGTGACTGATTCTTTATTTGGTATTGACTTTTCGTTCCTTTCGCACACCTTCTTTGACACGCAAAACCATTTATAATAATAACAACATTTCCACCTAATTTCTCATTCAGTATTCCTCACCCCGCCGACCACCCTTCTCCGGTGGTAACCTCATTCCTCTCCACCGCCGTCCCCAAAACCACACCGTCTAACAAATCTCTCAAACACCTCCGCCGCAACCGCAACGGATCACTCTTAGTCTCCATTTCTCTTCATCTTCGCTATCTTTTGATCTGTCGAAATCATGAACGCACTCTCACATTCTGCTGTTCTTCCTAACCTCAACCATCGCAGATTTTCACCGTAAGCAAACTCACACTTATCGGCTCACTTTTTCGTTTTTTCAGTTCATGTATTTCATTTGTTTATCGTTCAATTCCAAACACTTTTTCTAAACCCTATTTATTTTCTGCGTGTGCAAATTGCAAATTGTCTGAATTTCATACGCCAAATCACACGAATTGTTTCTGGTAGGTGTTACTGTTCGAGCATAGGAAAAAATGCTCTATTTTGCCTTTGATAATTTTGAGACTTTAGGGCTACGTCATTGAAATTAATTGTGTACAGTTTAGTGATATTATAGTCAGCCATATAGGTTATATTTATATATCTTTCAAAATTCAATCATATTTGGTCTTCAAATTATGAGTCAAATATATTGTTATTTTTTAAAATATCTATCTACCAGCAGTAATTCAACAAACATTTGTTTTCAATTGACCGTTCTAATATAGTATTTGCTAATTAAGATTTTTTGGGCTGTGGTTTTCAGGTCACGTTCTGATATTCAAATTCTTAACCGTGTCACTTGCCACTCGGATTTTAACAAGTCTACGTCACAAGCATCATTGTTTTTGTCTCCTGGTTCAGCGGATAGAAGAATTGGTAGCAGAAACATAGTTTGTCGGGTGTTTTCTTCTGTAGATGCAAGCACTTATAATGGGGTTGCTTTAGAATCTTCTCATACTGCAGAAGAAAAAGTTGGCGTGTTGCTTCTCAACCTAGGTGGACCGGAGACGCTGGACGATGTTCAACCTTTTCTGTTTAATCTGTTTGCTGATCCTGTATGTTGTTTTTACAATTTTAATATTACTTGTTAGTGTTAGCATTCATTCATATAATTTGTATGCTAGTTGAGGGGCCGTGTGCCCATGTAGGATGGGGGAATGGATGGTTTGGAGTTGTGCTGCTCTGTCGTATATCAGTTACTACCTTTTAATTAGTAGGATGTTTTGTATTGATATTTGATCACTCAACTTGCTGTTCTGATATTGTATCTGCAGGCTTAGTTTGTTGGTTGTAACCCTGTGCCTTGGTTCCTAATCGAGGCTTGTGTAGAGTTAGTTGTCTTTATGCTGTACTTAATGGTTTTAATGTTTTCTAGGATGCCCGAGAAATAATTTAAGTGAAGATGAGTGCTGCCATATTTTGGGAGGATGGTGCAGGACTAGCTGTGTGAGATGGTCGGGACAGGCATGTTGTTTTATAGGAAGGAATAAGGGTGGTTTGCTTGTTTATATGTGGCGATTTATTCAATTTCAAAGTGGTGTAGAACCCACTAGGATGCGTTGGAATCTTCATTGAAAATTGTTAAAAATTCTGGAAATCTAGAGATTTGTCTTGGCCAAGTCTTGTGGTAATCTGTCTGCACTAGAATATTGTATGATGTAATACATGGTTGTACTAGGACACTAACTATTTTTATGCTACAGTCATGTGTTTTTTCAAATTCTTGTTGAGTGCTACAATTCGAGTTCTAAGTTCTAACAGTAGAAGCTGGGGGTTGGGCATGTTTGTAGTATTTTGGAGAGATTGGGAAATCAATTTATTGTATTATATCAATTGGTGTGGATCTGTTTATATTTTGTGTAATGGCTTGAACTGTTGTATATTGATCCACTGGGCACATCTGGTCTATCTTTTCTATCTTCTCTTTGAAGCATTAATATTCTCTTTTGCCTTTCCAAAAAAAGAGCTTATATGCTAATATGTCTTTTGTATTGATATAGGATATCATTCGGCTCCCAAGGTTGTTTCGGTTTCTCCAGCGACCTTTGGCAAAATTGATATCTACGCTTCGAGCTCCTAAATCCAAGGAAGGGTATGCTTCTATTGGAGGTGGCTCTCCTTTACGCAAAATTACAGATGAGCAGGTGCAGTTCAAATTCCCTTTCTTTTTGGGTTGTAGTATATGCTGTTGGGCTATGTAGCACTGACACCTCAAATTGAAGGCGTGTCTAGTGTTTGACACCGATACCCATGAATATGCTCAATTACTTTTATTAAAATGTGTGACTATCGTGTTTGGCATCCGTTTCTGTGTCATTGTTTCATAGTTGTATTTCTTTGCAAGAGGAATACTTTGTGGCTTCATGCTGTTATTTTCAATTAAAAAAACTAATGTTGGGTTTAGAATAGAAATAACATCTCATTTATGGTTTCTGACAATCCTGCAGGCATTTGCACTTAAAAATGCTTTGGAAGCAAAGGGTCTCTTTTCAAATCTCTATGTTGGGATGCGCTACTGGTACCCATTCACTGAAGAAGCAGTTCATCAAGTAAGTCCTTATATGTTTCAGATCAAATGTGACTATATTACAATATTTTAAAACCGGATCAGATATGAAACCGGTGTGGCCTCCGGGTCATGGTTTAATTGTTCAATCGGTTGAACTGGGTAATTGATGTATAAGTAAATATAATGCTAAACTTCATAGGTAATTTATGAAAATCATAATTTGAATAGTCAAATGCAGAACATATACTATTATTATAAATTTGTGATGGTGTAGCTTCATAGCATGTTAACTTCATATGATTAAGTATATATTGCCGCTGTTGATGTTATATTTTATGAAGGGGGGAAATTGGTACTAGTAGCATTTTCCTTGAGAATAATGCTAGTAGCACACTCTTTAAAACCAAACTTTCTACCACACTAATCTTTTATTTGTTAAAATTAATATGGTTCCCTCCAAAGTTACACGGGACCCGTTTGATTTGGTGGGACCCAGGTGAGTTTTAACCAATAAAAGAGTGTGTTGGAAATTGTGTTGCCAGTACTCCTATTTCCGTAATTATTAGTATATCTTTATAAACTGCATACAGTGAGGAATTATAAGAAGATTGCGTATGTAGTATTGCCTATTCAACATAAATGAACTTGCTATTCTTCTCTGCCAACAACCCTGGTATGAAGGACTAGCATTAGCACATTCTGAAGGCATGCTTCTTGCATTTCCAATAATAGTGAAACAACATCAAAATCATTCAATTCAATTGAGTTAGAGAGAGTGTGCCAAAGAGTGAATGACCTCAATGGAGTTGGAACCGACATTGGTCAACAGTTTTCAACCATCCAACATCATTGTGAGTGCGAGGGACCAAGTGAACATCGAGTTTCCCAGTGTGAAGAATTAAGCAACCAAAAACACACTCAACATTCAAGTGTAAAGAATGGAAGAAAGGAGCAAATGATTATCTGTCTTGCTTCTCAATTCTGTTTGTTGTTTAGTTGCGAGACATGGGAATTAAGCTATGCTTAGAAATCCAACAGAAATATTGTTAAAAAATAGTGTCGAGCTCCTGTGTCGCATTTCTGCTCAAATCATTTCTTTGAGAAAAAGAATTAAAAAAAAATTGGAACCGTCTTTTTGGACCACATGATTTTCCTGAATCGGTCCAGGTTCAATGGCTATGCTTGGTTTTAAATGGTTCAAGCAGTTTTTCTGGTTCTTTCAGACTAGCAGTTTTAGCTTACTGGCCAAACCGGACTCAAGCCTGGTTCTCAGTTGGACCAGTCGGTCCGGTTATGATGACATTGCTAATTTATAATTTTCTCAATTCTCAACATATACATGGTACCCTTTATTTAAGTTATTTATATAGGTGACTAGTCACTATTTATTCTGAGCTACATTTATCACCTTAGACTTGGGTTTATAGTTAAAAGTTTGTCTTGTATGATAGATTAAGAGGGATCGAATAACAAGGCTCGTGGTGTTACCCCTTTATCCCCAATTTTCTATATCCACTACTGGGTCAAGCATCAGCGTTCTGGAGCAGATGTTCAGGTATTATTTAGTGGCACTTTGTGAATGCCCTTAGCCCCCCTTACATGATTTGAAGATGATTATTAACTGATATTATTTAATTTTCAGGCAAGATTCTTATTTGTCTAGGCTTCCTGTTTCCATTATAAACTCTTGGTATCAAAGAAAAGGTTATCTAAAGTCAATGGCTGACTTAATTGAGAAAGAACTAGAGAATTTTTCTGAGCCAAAGGAGGTGAATTTTATTCTTGTATTGAATATATTCAACATGGTTCTTGTGACCTTCTAAGTGATTTATTTTCTTTTCTATGAGCCTTTTATCAGGGTTTACAAATTTTTAAGGTAAATTTTACTCCAGCTGAACCATGGCATCTCAATTTTTTTCTTTCTATTTTTCAGGCTATGATATTTTTCAGTGCCCACGGTGTACCTGTCAGTTACGTTGAGAATGCTGGGGATCCATACCGAGATCAAATGGAGGAGTGCATCTTCTTGATCATGCAGGAATTGAAGGCTAGAGGAGTTAATAACGAGCACACTCTTGCTTATCAGGTTTGTTTTGAAATCTTTCAACTTGCTTTGCTACTATCTTCTGATTAGAACATGACTGGATATGTATAGTTCATCTAATGTCTGACTTGTAATCTTTCCTTGGGTTATTTTTTTCCCTGTATCTAACATTTTTGTTGTTTGAATTGCCAGAGTCGAGTAGGCCCTGTACAGTGGTTAAAACCGTACACAGATGAAGTTCTAGTTGAGCTTGGCAAGAAAGGTGTGAAGAGTCTCTTGGCTGTTCCAGTGAGGTACACTCTTATTGGCCTTTTACTATGATAGGATATTGATTTTAAATAAATACTGCCTTTTCTAGAGTAAAAGTAATCCCTTGTTCTACCTCAGCTTTGTGAGTGAGCACATAGAGACTCTTGAAGAAATTGACATGGAGTACAGGGAATTGGCTCTTGAATCTGGCATTCAGAATTGGGGACGTGTCCCTGCCCTTGGTCTTACCCCTTCCTTCATTACTGATCTGGCAGATGCAGTGATAGAAGCTCTTCCATCTGCAGCAGCAATATATGCCCCAGACAACAGCAGCTCTGAAGATATGGATGATCCGGTTAAATACTTCATCAAAATGTTTTTCGGTTCAATTTTGGCGTTCATGTTGTTTTTCTCACCCAAATTGATATCAGCGTTTAGGAATCATGTCATTTAGAAGAATAGCATCAAGCATAGTTGATAAAGCTATTGATAGCAAATTTGTATACTTCGTTTTTTTTTTTTTGGTTTGACTCAGCTACGCATATAATGTATACATCAGAGATATGAAAGAAGCAAAAGCATTGGTAATAATGAGAACTGGCACGTTATCTTGTGAACAACACGGACAGTTTACTTTTCTTGTATTTGTATAGTACTAATCTATACAACTAATAAACTGTATTTTTGGTTGTTCTTGCAAAGATTTGAACAAGAACATATATTTGTTTGAAATAAATGCCTTGCGTTATTGGAGGAAGTAATTTGTATCACTGTTTTTTTGTTGTGCAGGAAGGGTAGTTTATGTCTTCCTGCCACAATCTTACAAGTAATTTGTTTTTCATTTTTTATGCAAGTTTTATTTGAACAATAATTGTTGCATTCCACCATTGTATAATAATGTTGAAGTGTTCTAGGGCAGTGACATTTCTGTTAGATACAAGCCCTTAAATTAAGATAATAACTGAATTAGGATGTTAAGACTTTGTTTGGAAATTAGGAGGGAGGGAAAGAGAGAGCTTCAGAATATATATTTTTTTAAATATATTGATAAAATTTTAATATTTTTTGAAAGAATGGTTTTGTATAGAATAATAAAGAATGATTATTAACATAATTTAAAATTTTGGAATCCTATAATATAGATTATATTTGAAGAAGAATTTTTCGAAGTCTTCCAAATTTTTTCTCTAATACAATTTTTTAATTTCTTATATTATAGAAATTTTGATTTTTGAATAAAAATAAATCTTTTTAACACTATCAAATATCTCATTCTTTTCACTCAACTCTTCTCTTTTTTTAAAGTTTTACCCTCCTTTTCTCTCCAAACTCTTAAATAAAGTATAATAGTCTTGTTAGTTGACACGAGAAGAATGTTTAAGTATTAAGAGGCCATTTCTTATTACTAGTTTGTCATATATAATTACAATAACTGTTCGTATACAACAAATAGGAATTAATCAATTAAGAGAATTAGGAGTGAGAGTATTGCCTATAAAATAGAGTGTGTGATTGAGAGAGAAGATATCTTGGAACTTGGGTGGAAAGAGGTCATTTAGGCATAAGGTGCAGACCATCGAAATTCTACATTATTATTAGTTGACTTTTATCAGCTAATATTAGAGCAAGTAAGATTTTGTTAAATGTTGTTGATGTGAGGACATGTGAAGGTGAGGTTGGACTCATTAGAAATGAGTTTGAGTGTTTATTAGAGACAATAGAACACGATAGGGCTAAACATGCAAAATCAAGGCAAAGAACAGACGAGATGATGGAAATTTGGTGCATGGAGAGACATGACATTCCAAAAGGTTTGCAACAAAATGAAAATAATGTGGACCATGAAGACAACTTTGTCCAAGACGGTGGTTTTCGTCCTCGTGAAGAAAGATGACGCAAATTGGAGATCTTAAGTTTTAATGGGGAACATGCATTTGGTGGTACAAACAAAGTTGGGAGCTATTTTGAATTAAATAAATGAATGATGAAGAAAAGTTACAAACGATTATGGTAGCCTTGGAAGGGAAGGCTTAAATTTAGTATTAATGGTGGAAAGTATGCACACAAAATCCAACTTTGGGAAGATTTCAAATATGCAATTATACAAAAGTTTCAACCGTTAATGCTACAAAATTTGGTTGAGTTATTGATTATTTTGAAATATACAAGGTTGGTAGATGAATATATATAGTGGTTTGAATTATATGCAATCCCTCTTAGACCCGCCTATTTGAAGACTGTACTCACTAAAAATACAAAATGTGTAATAATTTATAGTGGATAAGGGTTATAAGAGGCTTTAGGGTGATTATTGTATTGAGAGTTTGTTTATTTGAGGTGAGAAACTATTGTATGTCTTTCGCCCCACCCTCAAGACCTCTTCCAATTATACCACCCCACAATCTCTCAAACACGATGGTACGTAGATATCACACCCTCATTTTCACATTTAGCCTTTCATACCCTACATTTGTCATATCATACATCGTTCTATTGTATATCGAACATATGGGTTCACAAGTTGAGGATTGGGTCGATTCGTTTGTTTCCCATTCCAAATAAGAAAATTTGCCAATCATGGGCTACATGGAAGAAAAGGTTCATCATCTAAGGTTTGATCTAAGATGGAAAGTCTACTCATGTAGATTCCTTCAAGAAGAAGTTACTTGAAAAGTATTAGGATATTCAAGATCAAAATTCCTAATGAACATGAAATGCAAGGCCTAATTCAAGATTACTTCATCCAATTTTGTTTTAAATTCTTGATTAAGTGGAGTTCAAATTTGCAAAGCATGAGTCAAGATCATAAGTTCATAATTCAAGATTTCTTTCATTTCAAATTCAATGGCCTAAGGGAGACCCATTATTCCAAATTCAAGATTCATGAATTCAAGACTAGATTCAAGAATATTACAAAGAGAAATTTCATGACATTTGCAAGAATGTCACATTTGTTACAAAATTTTCAACTCTAAGTAATGTTTAGAAATTAATTTATTTCTAATATTCATTCAAGTTTTTAGTCAAATTCATGCTATGGTACCCTTCATGCCCCATCAAGTTCACATGATCCTCATTGTGCCTACAAACATCCAAGGAAAATAATTAAGATACAACTCAACATTAGAACATGTCAAGATCAAGACTATGTTTGCTTAGCCATGGGTAATTTTAATGTGATCCAAAACAGCCCCATGCAAGAAGTGACAATTTGCATTATATCACAAAACCATTACATGTCACAAGACCAAGGAAATAAACTCATGGTGATGCATCTACATCTCAAATATTAGAATTTAAAAATTTTGTCCAAAGGTTAACATTGATCAAAAGGGGATGTCCAAGCACAAGCCAACAAATGGGTACAAGATACAAAATGCAGCAGAAAAAAAAAAGACAGCATAGGCAAGTAGTGTAGCAAAAATGCAGCATAGCAACATACATGGAAATGAAAAGAAAGAGAGTGACATGAGGAAAGTGGCAAGAGACATTTCCCCATGAAAAAATCTGATGTTTTGAAAGAAGGGAAAACCCTAATGTTCTGAGATAAAATAGGAGAGGGGCTGCAAACAAAGGGGCATTCACCACACATTGACATTGAGAGAAAAGAGGCATTGAGAAAAAAAAAGAGTAAGAGAGAAAAGCAGAAAAAAGAGTTTGAGAAGAAAACCTTGAGGGAACAAGAGAGGAACAAAAGAACCAGAAGAAGGAGGTGAACCACAAAGCATACCCAACAAAAGCCATTGGTGAAGGAAGATAATAGCTCTTGGGTATCCTTCCCTTCAAATCCTTATCTTGTTTACAGTTTTGCATATTTTCATGTGTTTATTTCTTGTGTTGTATAACTGTAATAAGGTCTTGATATGACCAAGAAATGTTGTAAAAGAACAAAGGAAAGAGAAATCACATAGTGTAATTGACATAATAAGATGAGTTGAAATATACTCATCTTTACTGTAATGTTCGCTGGCAAGTTCGCCTAGCGAACTTTGCCCTGTTTTCCCTCTGTTTCCATAAAAAAAGGCATATTCTGGGCAAAACAGCATGAAGTTTGCCTAGCGAACTTCTTATGTTTTCTTGTTGTCATGTTCGCTGGCACCTTCACCTAGCGAACTTTGCCCCATTTGCCTCTGTTTGCGTTCGCTGGGAAGTTTGCACAGCGAACTTCTTGTTGTTTTTTCTGGGCAGCTTCGCTGCAAGGTTCGCCTAGCGAACTTTTCCCCCTTTTGCTTTTGTTTGCGTTCGCTGGGAAGTTCGCCTAGCGAACTTCTTGCTGTTTCTGGGCAGCTTCGCTATAGCCTTCGCCTAGCGAACTTCCCTTAGTTTTTCTAGGTTTTTCCCAAAAAACTTTTTCAAGGAGTTCGCACGCGTTCCGAATGTTTTGAATACAAGGCGCTCGACTTGGTTATTCAAAACATTTATCTCTATCAGTCTTTAGTGTGATCCTAATCAAAAACAATATCTTCTCAAAAACCTAAAAATAACATCAACTCATTAAACTTCTTTTCGCCTTAGGGCATCAATCCGAAAACCCTTTTTCAAGGTATAAAATCAACCAACAAACAACCATTTCACAAGCCTTCGAACTACGGAGCTCTGATTCTTCACTTCTTTTAAGTGGGGATACGTAGGCACAAGAGCCACAATCCTTGACGAGCATTATAATAAAAAAAACGACCCCTCTTTTCTTTTTAGCAAGCAAACTTTTAATAAAAACACTCATTCAAGCGAAACAACCTAGAAGGTTCCCATCGAGTACGATGTATATGAGGGGTGCTAATACCTTCCCCTCGCATAACCGACTCCCGAACCCTAAGACTTGGTTGTGATGACCATGCTCTTTCCCTAAAGGTTTTATTGTTATTTCCCTTTCCCTCCTTGGGATAAATAAAATTCGGTGGCGACTCAGTGTCATTTTTTGCGTAGTGACAGTAGATGACGAAAGGTTTTAACCACTGAATCCTCTTCGTTCTTTGGAGCCTAGTCGAAGTTGTTATTCTTGCCTTTAGCTATTGGGGTTTCAGGCGAATCTTTCTCATAAGGGTTAGTTGAATCCCTCAGGCGGAAATTAGTTGAGCCTTTCATGAGAGAATTATTTTAGTACTTGAGGCAAGGCTTAGTTGAGTCTTTCATGCAATATTTAGTTGAGTCTCTCAGGCGAGACTTAGTTGAGTCCCTCGGGTAATATTTAGTTGAATCTTTTTTATAATACTTAGTTGAGTCCCTCAAGCGAGACTTTGTTGTGTCCCTCATACAATACTTAGTTAAGTCTTCTTGACGAGACTTAGTCGAGTCCCTCAAGAGAGACTTTGTCGAGTCTCTCAAACGAAACTTAGTTAAGTATTTATGAAGAGACTTGGTCGCTCATAGATGGATAGGTTTTTCCTATAAGAATCCATCAATTTGATTACCTCATAGGGCAGAAAGGATCTTCCCGTGGAAATCCAGCAGCTT